ATTCGCAAAGTTATTTAAAAATAAAGCCTTTTTACTTTGCGAAAACTGATTCGGGGTGCTACCTTAAAAACGTGACTTAATTTGGAAAACCGTTAGTTTAATTTTAATAAAATCGTCCGGTTACTGAAAGCATGAATTTCTCAAAAGTTCATCAAAAGATAAGTTCGTCAAAATGAGTATGTCAAAAGTCATCAAAAACATCGTCACAAGTTATCAAAATATCATTAGCGGAAGCGTAAGTCATCATAATAATTATACAGTCAAAAACATGAATATCCTGAAGCTTCCGTCACGTCACGCTCCCGGCCCGACATCCTGACCTGAAAAACATGATAAAAGTGGGAAATGAGCTATATGGCACTGTGCTCCGTGGAAACTCATACTAATGTAAAACATCGAAAATAATAACAACATCATGATATCAGTATATACATAACCTCAACCTCAAGCCGGTAAAAACATGAAACTGAAATCGTCACGCAACCGTGACGCTGAAATCGTCACTCAACAGTGACCCTGACCGTTACCTCATCTGCCGGCAAAGCCGGACACCATGTGCACACTCTAGTGGGCAGACTAGGGCCACTAGAACCCAGAATGGACCGGCGACCATTCCGAGCGGATGCCTCCACTGAAATACATACCTCAAACATGGTACTGTAATTATAATCAATGTAGTACGTAGTCTGAGTCCCCACCTGAACTGCTGAACTGAATGGTAGTGCTGATGCCTGATCAAACTGAAAATAATATAAACAATTACTATTGACTATGCTCAGACTGATAACTTAACTGATTAATTTCAATAAGATGCTCTATTTCACTTAACATGATATTTAGACTTATCCGGAATAACCGGAACTGACTTGACCTGAACTGATTGGACATGAATTTACTGAACTGAAATAATCTGGGAAATTTAACTGAAAATGCCATTAAAATAATAACTGGGCTGAATACTTAAACATGAACTGAACCGGATTAAAATGAGACTGAACCGGTCCAGCCGGTCTGAACCGG